CTAAAAGACTGTTTTCGACAACTTTGAAATTTTTAAGTAAACAAGGACTAACTTGGTGCAAATGGAAAAGAAGGTGCTTCAAAACTACCGAACCGTGTAGTTTCTAAAACGTCTATTTTATTTTATATTATTTTATAACGGTTAAGGAGTATTATTAAAATTATAACGGCATTTTAAATTCTTCGAATGAAATAACTTGAAATTTACAGTATATTAATACAAAACAGACATACCATGACCAGAAAAAAACCCTCAAACTTAAGATTCAAATTGTCCTGGTTAGCTATACTTTGGTTTCTATTATTCCTTTACTTCTGCTTAGCACACTTATTCGTACAAGTTTGGTTAACTCACAGTTTGTTGTTGTTGTTGAAAGCTATTTGACTGAGCCAATAAGGTCGCAATAAATGACGATAAAATAAAAGTTTTATATCTGGCAGCCACAAAACGAACTAAGCCCTTTGTGGCAGCAACTACCACAATTTAGACGAGGCTACGATTTTTCTTTCAGGATTTATGACTGTGTGTGAGGGAGACTAAAAGGCAGATCAACAATATTGTGACCACATGAAAGGAAGATTTTTTCTTAGAATTCTTATTTTTCATTAATTAGAGTGTTTCTGCAGCGCTGAAAAAGCTTTGAATCAAGCAAAGTATTGTGTACATTTAGTTCAAAAAAATTAATTAAAATAGTGTATAAATTCTCATGTAAAGCATCAGAGTTTGTGTGAAGAAAAGGGAAATGCGGAGTTTAAATATTATCATTCTTTGTGGAGATTGAATTTGTGGGAATGAAAAAGATCTACAACGCATCCTGGGGTGTTAAACAGCGCAAATATCTTTGGGTAACCAATCAACCGATCAGAGCAATTGCAACTTCGCACATATGCAAAACTCGCATTTGCACTATTTATGCGTTATTTCTATAACAATGCGCTGATTGCTCCAACAAGGCAATGTGGTTTGAAAATTAATTTATGCCGATGCGATTAAGGACTTCGCTTTTGCACATATTCACATGCTGGCAATCAATGCTCATCAGATATGCAGCTCCGATGGTTACCAACAGTTTGTTGGCAAACATATTCAGGAACAAGAAAAAACAAAAACGAAAAATAAAGAGGGAGTCAAATTAATTCAGTATGTCAAATGTAAGTGTTGCTATGTGCAGTTAGCTGCATCGCTTGTTGCCGTTGGATGTAGTTGTTACACTCTGAGTAATTGAGTTTGTTAGCTTTAGAGCCATCAGCAGTTCAGCTCTGATTGATTAATTGGAAAATGCAAATGACATTATTTTGCTGCGCCACAGCCGATGCCACCACAAGCGTGTTCCATCAACGTACACGGCGTGTAATGGGCGCAATTTCATTGGTTTATATCCAATTATACCTGCGAGAATCACTGCGCTGTTCGCTTTATTGCTGGCACAAATTCATTTAGACGACTAAGGGGTGGATGCTTTTGTTGCATCGATGACTATTTGTATTTGTAATGTATCTACTAATGGATACTAAAAACGTTGTATAGAATAAATGAAATACTATTATAAAATTGTAGTATGTTTTCTCACTAATTCAGTTTTTGAAGAAAAAAAGTGTATTCAAGGAAGAATTATATTTGTTGGGGGTGATTCCGACAAATTCTTCTAAATCTAACCATTATTGTGATTATAATTTTAATATCAATGTCATGACTTCATTTTTACGGATTATGACGTCCAAATATCTATAAACATGTATACATATATTATATCTAGAGATGTTGGTAGTGAAAGATCAAACTGAAATATAGTAAACTCCTAGAAATCCCGACCAGCCATGGACAACCAAGAAAGGAATAGTTGCAAACTAGAATTTCAATATATCTCAATAGTTATAGTTATAAAAAAAGGCATTTGTTGTCGAAGTAGCGTTAGAAAACATCACTGAAGTAATTTGGAGGAATGCTGTAGGTTGGCAGTCTGTTCCAGTTAGGTAATCCCGATTGTTGTGGGAGCTTTGGAAAAACATATTCGGCTGTGTAGTTTCATCGCTATTTGATTTCGCTGCAGGGATGCCGCTGAAAAATCTCGTTAATTCAATGAAGAAAATTTAGGGCAAACCCATAATGCTTTAAAGTAGATGCGCTAAGTAGCAATTCAGCATATGTGCATGCGGATTCATGCAGAGTCATAGCTATATTATTAGCTGGTATGCTCCATGCACGACCGACGAAACAAACCGTAATAACTATTTTTTATCAATGCATTACATTTACTTTTTTTGTTGTATAGCAAATTTTATTTTATTTTATATAATTAATTATTTTCAAAATTATGAACCGTAAATGATTCCCGTGCTCAGCCACACATATGAGCCACCTAATTAAAAAATTATTCATTGCGGGCCATCGTGGATTATTTCTGGATTTTATTACCTCCATATACGGTAATTTTGCTTCCTTTTTTCCCGTTTGAATCAAAATGGGTCCCATCAGACATAAACAGCCAATTTATCAAGTAATTGTCTTCTTTTTTTTTTTTTGGCAAAATTCCAGGCAAATATTCAAATCTAGAGGGTTTAACCGGCTTGTTATTTCAACTTTGTATGAAAAAAGACTTAAGTCATCATGAATTATCCGTTGTAATGATTGTCTCGTAATTCCATGTTGCGACGATATATTGGCGAGTCGAAACTCTTGGATTTACCGCGATTATTTCTTGAACACGAACATATAGAACTTGATTGTACAATCTTTTTGTGATATTTGCAGATTCGGTAGACATATTTACCACCCCATAATGGTCCATCTGTTCTGTGGAGTGCTGCCAAAAACCCGCCCGAGTTCGGACGGAAATGAGGGACTGCAAAACGTGGCACCGCTGCACTATCAAAACCCTCTTTTTTTATATCCTTACAACCAGTTTCAACAGTGTAACAGATTTACGTATATTTTATATTCAGATTAGAAGCATAATATTCCATATATGTGGCAAAGTCACACCGTGCAAGAATTTATGTATCTGCAATGTGCGATTAGCTTTCCTTGAGGAATGTTCACATTCACGCCTATAACTTATGCATCGAAATGAGCCATAAACAAAACTGTTGTTACTCTCACATTTTTTTTTGATTATGGATATCAATATGTATGTATATAAATATCATAAATTATCACTGTTTGAAAAGAATTCGCTGGTGAATTTCGTAATTTATAATTATGTTTAATTCAGAATTTCGCTACAGAGCGAAGCGACTCTAAAGGTTAAAGATTGGTTTTGATTAAATTGAGTTTGGAAAATTGAATTCTGAAAAATGGAGTTGTACCATATTTCAATTTATTTTATGTTTCGTCCTCAAAATATTTCCACTCTCTTTCAAACTCCGAAATATTAAAGGCAAACATATGTATATACATTTTGGGAAAATTCATAACAAACTCATCTATTTCATCAGCAGTAAATGAAGCAGTTAAGCACTTTCTCGAAGAAACCGTTTCGATGATATTTACAAGCGTACATATGTATGTGCATACACTACTCTGTACTATGTATTTGTATGTACTCATACCCTTGCTACGTGCACTGAAGCATATGAATTACGACCACACTAGTCTATCGCCAGACATTTTGTACCTTTAGGGAAATTGGCAAAGCCCATTCAAGCAAAGGTTGTTGTAGTTGATAGCATTGCTCTCACAGCGTCCATGTATGAGTATGCGTTGGTAATTCGGTCAAAATTACTTGAATGCATGTTATGAATATTGATGCGACAGATGCAAAGGGATTTGCGATAATAAAGTTACTATCTCTCGCCGAGCTGAAACATGGTTGATAATTATGGATGTACATACATATGTAGATAATATTTTCAAATAATTTACCGACAAATTTTCATGTCTAATCTAATGAGTGTTTGTTTACATAAATTAAGCGTTTCAGTCATATAAAATATTTGCATTTGCAAAGAATTAATTTACATGTTGATGCCATTTATAAATTTATATTTTATATATATATTTATATATATATATATTTTATTTATAAAATTATATTTTTTTGTGGGAAATTGAACAGAATTAATATATAAAAATACGTACATATGTATTTATAATCGAAGGCGCAACACACCCATTGTATTACAATATCGTTTTGGGGCAACCAGCTGCAGCAGGGATTTCCGCTGAGTAGCATGAAATATGAATATGCTTTGACAATTCGCCTTCGGTCTCGGGCAGCAAAGGTGTCGATTTAAATCCGGTTAAGCGCCTCTTTTGTGATTTTGCAGTTCTTTAGAATCAAGCTATACTTCCGTTCATATCACTTTACAACACATTTTTTTGTTTTGTTATTTACCCGACTCACAATGCAATTTTCTTATTATACATACATATGCAGTTACATGTGGTAACACATGTGTGTATGTATGTATGCATGCATGCATGTAGTTAAGAGTGAAATAGTATCCATTAGCAGGTGATAACTTCTAAAGCAAATTTATTTAAAACATACTACCACTTTGTTACAAATAAAACGTTCATATATACATATATGTGTTAAAACAGCGAATAGCATACAAAGAACTGTCGTGTATGTATGTTTGTGGAATTTCCTATATGCAGCGCAAGGATAGTGTCCATGCTTTTCACAAAACATATGTTTTGGAAATTGTTTACAATTTGATAATAGCAAAATTTACCGATTTTCTTTTTATGGTGCAGCATACCTAATAAAACTTTTTAAGTAATTTTATATCAGTAGAACATTTTTTATACGTAGGTATTTTTCTACCGAAATTAGGTTGCGCAGAAATTTGCAAAAAATATTTCTAAGCAATTTCATAATTTATAAATACTACGATCAACACAAAAATCTGGTAAATTTACGTTCATAATTGATATAATTTTATGCTTAGCAGCACATTTCTGCCAGGCTTATTGGAAATTATGTTCAGCCCATCAATATTAACAAACAAGAATACATGCACATGTACATATATCCATATGTTTAAAGAAGAACTCACCTTAATGAAGTGAATCAAATCTTGTACTTATTTGTTAAATCACTATGTAACCTTTGTTTATAAGTAAATACACTAAATCACTTTTGAAATTACAAAACCCTTAGGATTGACTTAAAAAATATGTATACCGGAAAATTAATGAGATGTTTATTGGTGATGTACTGTCAAAGCGAAGTGTCAAATCTTTCGGTTTTTCCTTACACCGAGTTTCCAACTAGTAAACAAAACGAATTCTCTGTGTTTCACTTTCGTTGGTGACTTTACAATAAGCAGAGTGGCCACTAAGCGTTCGAAAGGGATGAAGCGGAAACAAAGCAAATTAAGACTATATAAAAATAACGAGAAATAATCAAATATAATTGCACTGTGAAACCAAAAAAAAATATTTTTTAAATGATTTTATGATTTTAAAAAAATAATACTGGTACATATGTAAATATACTATAATAACAATAAATTTACTGGTGTAGACAACGCTTGCGCGGTTATAGATGATTAACAACAGCGCGAGCGTCGTTTCTTTTTTTCGCTGTTTGGCGTCAATTCGAGATACCAAGGTAAGCCAGGTCCTTTCCACCTGATCTTTTGAACGGAGTGGAGGCTATCCTCTTCCTCTGCTTCCATCGGCGGGTATTCTCAGAGCTGGAGCGTTCTTTTCCATCCTGGCAACGGCATGACCTAGTCAATTGCCAAGAGACCGTTGTCTCTTGATTCGCTGAACTATGTTAATGTCGTCGTATGGCTTGTACAGCTCATCGTTCCATCGACAGCGGTACTCGCCATTGCCAAATCACATATGTACCTCAAGAACTGCTCAACCGATTTCATGTCACAAATACAACTTTAAAATCCTTTGAATCTTTCACTTATTAGTGTATAGTAAATAAAGAAGCAGTTAATATAACGACATAAAACAATAAGTAAGAGAGATCTAAATTCGGGAATAATCGTACATTTCATACACTTCCTTATGCCTTATGTACTGGGGTACCTTCAGGTACATAAGGCTTGTTAGTTATATGGGGTCTATGAAGAGTGTTTACCAGATTTTATTCACTTATACAACACAAATGTGAACAGTTATAAAAAAAATACACTCTTTCAATTTGATTAAGATAACTAACAAATTTGCCGACTTATGCTTGACTTTTTACCGAAAATGTCGCGAAATGTGTGAGATCTTAGTATGTCTGTGGGCAAAAAAAAAAAAAAAAAAAAAAAAAAAAAAAAAAAAAAAAAAAAAAAAAAAAAAAAAAAAAAAAAAAAAAAAAAAAAAATAAAAAATTGAATCAGATCAATACTTCCCATATACCTGATATAAAGATTTTCGAACTTCCGGGTGAAGTTAAGGGATCATCTCAGTGTGACTCTTCGAAAAATCACAGAATGTTGAATCGGTCTGGTTTTTTATAAGTAAATACATTTATTACGATTTTTTATGTTTATTTATTGGGTCTATACTAGTTAAATAAATTGTAGAAACGACACGTAAAAAGAAGGTCTTGTACGATGTCCACGATTGCGGCCGCAATTTTGGTCTAAGACAAAAATTTCAAAAGGATTCTTAATCTGTCGGAAAGTCGCTATCGCACAATGGAGAGTTCTTTTTTTTTGCAAATTTCAGAAAATGGTGGTGGTTTTAACAAAAAGTATCGAATTATGTTCCTTTTTCGTATGAAATAATAGGAAGATTTCAAAAAAGAAAGTGTGATAGAGAATGACGTTAAAAATGTTCTCTCCAAATTGGAAGTAGATATTTTCAACATTTGATTGCAGTTTTTATTTTGTTGTAGGTTGCTAGCAAAATTAATTCAACTGTTCCACAATGCAGGTTTATTCAATAAATTTGTATGGTTAACAATACGCTGAAAGGCAGCATTGATTACGATAATATGCGCGTTATGACTTCTTGATCACAACTTTGAAATGATTTTTAGCAATATGGTTTTAGAATGTTTGATTGTACGGAAGCTTCCATGAATTGAAAATGAAAAGGCCATTTACCTAATTATTATATAAAAGTATATATTTGCATAAAGATGAACATATGTATATACATACGTACATTTAAGTACGAAAACGTAACTACTTTAATTGCTTCAATGCATATTTGCTATTTATTGATTTATGCCATAAAAAATGCATTTATATGCACACATACACTTGCATTTGTTTATATAAAAATTACGACTGTATTAAGTTTATCGCCGCATCTGTAAATGCGAGAAAAAATATTTACAGTTATATACAAGCGTGGAGCCTTTGGCATATTATAATTGTGTCGAGAAAAATGCATTTCCAGGAGATTCCAGCTCTTCACGGTATTTCACGGTAGCTTCACTTGTGCTGTAGTCTGCTGTTGTTTATATTAAAAATGTCAGAATTTCGCAAGTAAATGCACACAGCACAACCAAACGTACTTGTATTTACCCATTGTACATCTTTTTCCGTTGAATAGTTTTGAGTGTGGCCACAGCTCGTTCGTCTTGCTTCGTAGCGTGGTTACTCTTGAGAGCCATAAAATTCAGTTCGTCGAGTCAGTTTTCTTTATACGCCGTCAACCCTCACAAATATTAAGTGAATTCACGTGCATTTGTATCCATCTGATCGCTTGTCTGATTGTAGGTGGCTAGACGACAGAGCGACGTTACTTGCAGCATTCTCCACATTTCTCAAGGTGTACGATATTTCTCCAATTCATTGCGCACAGTCAGCATAGCATCAGCAGACCAAAACTTTCTTTTCTCGTTTTTTATTGAATATGTGTGTACTTATATTTTAGAGACGCAGCCTATGGTCGAACTTGGAACATTATACATTTATTTATGGAAACATTTAACTAAAATAGTTTAAAGATATTCAAAAGTTATCGTAGTAAATAAAGTGGATACATGATATTTGCTTTATCATTGTCGTATCTGTTTTTTAAAGAAGGATTCTTCGAGAGAACATGTAAAATTGAGGCTTTTACCAAAACTACTCATTCTCATTTCTATTAACATGAGAGAAAGTTTGGGTGGCGCAATAAGAGCGCTACAAAACATTATTTAGAAGAAAAACGGTTTGGGATATCAATGAAATTTATTCCTGTGAAAGTAAATTCGATGACATTTTGTATAGAACTCGATTTCTTTTGCATGGCCACCATGGGCACGCTTGAAGAAGTCCAGACACTGAGCCCAATTTTCGACGCTTTTCAAGCATAAATCGGCCGATACTGTTACAATTTTACGTTCGATATTCGTACGATGTTCACCAAACGTTGCTTGTTGGCATAGATCATATACTTGACCTATCTCCACTGGAAATAGTCTAACGGCATAAATTTGCATGACCAAGGCGGTCAATTGACTGGACCACTTATTGCGATAACACGTTCACCAAACTTGGTTTCAATAAATCGATTGTGACATTCGTTGCGCCATCCCGTTGGGAACATATATTATCCAAGCCCATATCATCCAATTAACCGGACCATAAACCGTACCAAACCGTTATTTAATTTTTCGGAATGCAATTGTGACTCATGGTGTACGTGTGGATTGCTGCCTGACCAATAACTCATATTTTGCTTATTGACGAAGCCATTCAGCCAGAAATGAGCCGCATCGCTGAAGATAATTTTTCGATGAAAATCAGGATCAGTTTCAAGTTGTTGCTCAGCCCGATTCACGAATTCACGACTACGATTATGGTGGTCAACAGCTTCAGCTTTTTGCAAAATTCGCCACAACGAAGTCACAGGGATGCCCAACGCTGCAGAACGACATATGAGAGATCGATTTGGGTCTTCCTCAATTGATGCGCTAGCGGCAGCAATATTCTCGACACTGTGGGCACTTCTTCGACTCATTGGCACAGGACCATTTTGTACTGTGCCTGTGGATTCAAAATTTTCCACTAGACGCTCAATTGTTGATCTGGCAGGACGATTATGACGACCATAAATTGGCCGTAGTGTTCTTAGAGTTCAAGTCACTGACTCCGAATTTCGGTAGTAAATTTACTGAAGAGAAATGTCAAGAGAGCGACTAAAATATGGCGTCGTTTGCTGTCCCTATCGGTCTACTTTTATAGTGCCCTATTGAAAACCTTATATTAGACCTAGCAAGCTGGATAAAATCACATTTGATGATTATACGTTATGTATGTGTATTATAATTATCATACGAGACAAACTCAGCTTCCATATCGAAAAGTAAATAAACTGTGCCCCAAATATATGTGAGCTTTTGCCTGGTTGGTATAGATAAATTCTCACACATTCATACACATAAACATATATTATAAAAAATATGTATATGTATGATGTCATATGTGTAAGTGTAATAATGCAGCAATAATTTTGCATGCAGTCGCTTTGGTGAATAATCGGTGTTTTTTTCGTTCATTGCCCACCGACCAAATAAGTGACTTTCTAATGCCATTTTACGCTTTGGCGCGTTTTAATTCCATTTCATAGTTTTCATTGCACTGACACAGAATAAGTTCATTTGCTGCTCGCTGCTTAGCTGAGCTCAGCTTTTCTATGCATCGCAATTTCCTTTGTTTGATTTTCGCTTTTAATGTTCATGCTCAGTGACTTTCCAGTGCACTGCTCGGCAGCTTGACTGCTGGGTTGTGATATTTATCTTTGAAGCTGAATTTTTGCAACTTAAGTTTGTAACTTAACTTTTGCATAAACAATTTTTCGTTTAGCGACAGAGAGCTGTGATTGTAGAAATGGATCTTGTCTCAGCTGGTATGTTGCGATTCTCTTAAGAATTGCTTAAAGCGAAAGAAGATCTTATTACATACATTTTTGTAAATATAATAACCATTTAGTTTTTAAATCATAATTCAAATTGACCTGACTTAAAAATTAGCGTTCTTAAGCTGAGAAGTCTACCGCAAACTTTGCATTAAGGCATATACTTACGGTCCACAGTACAAGGTAAGGCGATTTGTTTTATTAATATTCACAGTACGATTTGTGATGAGATCCTCTGTCAGAAGTTCTCTAGCAGCCTCTGTTTTACACCCGCACTGCAGAAGAATGCCCCACTTAATTCTCAAACACTTTAGAAAAACGAAAATCATTATACATACAAACATATGTAGTACATGAGTATATGAGGGGTAACATCGAACACATTGTAACAATACTACAT